CCCTTGATCACTGGACAACTGACCACGCCCCCGGGGACACGTCCTCGATGTAACTACTCGAGACTTGTACACGTGACCTCCGCCTGACGCATCGTCACTTCCGCTTCCGCTGACCCCCGGGACTACGACTGTGGCCCCAGGACGCCACTCGTGGACTCTCCACTTTCTACAACTACGCCTCACAGTCTCACGTGTGGACATATTTTTAGATGTATAACCTGAATTGCGTTGTAAATAAATGGTAGGCCACGCACAGATTCCACCCCCACTTTCTCACACTTGGTGATGGGGGAAGCCATTAGCACACCCCCGGCCTCACTCCCACCCCCCTCCCCTCACCCTCGCCCTCACCCATTTCTTTCCTCGAAACTCCGCAATCAGGAGATGCACTGTGAAAACAGCACCCCACCCCCTCCCCTCCCCAGGGCAGTACTACTGACTGAAGTGTCTTTAGGCCATTCCCAAAGGGGGTATATTAACATGTTCCTATGCACGATAGAATTGTAAATGGGCTGATTTATCAATGTCATGCTCAAACTGTGCCTCAATGTCATGCTCATACTGTGCCTCAATGTCATGCTCATACTGTGCCTCAATGTCATGCTCATACTGTGCCTCAATGTCATGCTCATTCTGTGCCGGAACAACATAGGGGGAACATGCTTTTTCTTTCCTCATCCTTACTGTCGTCATTTTTTCCTCTACTTCTTTTGTATGTTTGTCACACTCTTGTGAACTGCTATTTCCGGGATGCCTTGATAGTCGAAGCAGATTTTGTGCTGTTGAGGCTAGAGAGGGGAGCAGAATAAGCCTGATTCTCCGTTTGGACTTCTCTGTTGACACCCACCCCTTGGCGCTCATACGACCTTATGCAGTTGCGAGCGCCGTAAAACCTTACTAAAACAAAAAAAGCACGACCCCGAACATTTCCCTCGACACCTTGCAATCAGGAATCTCACTGTGAAAACAGCTTGTGGGTCAGCAAGAAACCAGAACCCTGAACCCTCCTCCCCTCCCACACATCGACACACACACACACACACACACACACACACACACACACACACACACACACA